CTCTGCTCCTTTTTCTTATCTACAGGCTCACAGATCTTCGCAAGGCACTTTAACACCAAAGGAACTAGGGTTCCCTGTGAAAGGGGACAAACCCACGATGCAAATCCAGTACCATGTTGGTTCTCCATGAACACCCACAACCCCAGGCAGAGTTACCAGGAAACCTTCAGCTTCAAAGCACTCTTCCTCTGGTTTCACCATGAAGAAGAAATGGACCTGTCAGGGTCCTGTGACAGGGGTACTATTTAACTATGCTAATAAAACCCAAAGTGACAATACTTATTCAGAGTAACACACAGTTCTTAAAGAAGGTTTTTTCTCTGCAGGCTCCGAGTCAGCTCTTATCTGTGGAAACCAGCACATGTTTTGGTGTTTCACCAGGATCACCCAAGAGGCCTTGATGAAGTTGTTGTGCAAGTCTCCACACAACTACCCAGGAAAGGTAGAAAACTAAACAAGAGAGGCTTTAACAGGGAAAGTAATGTATGTGTCATTGGGTGCATTTGCAATTTTCACCGCACAAATCATCTGTATTCCCACCTTTTTCTCAGCTAAGCAACGATTACATGGAGTTTTTCAGCAACTTTACAGAAAACCATCCCCTCTGAGCAGGACCTGAGCAGTGCTAGAGCCTCATTTACACCAAGACGTCTTTCTCTGGAAAGAAAAGGTCAGGAGATCAACCTTCTAGTGGAAGGTGATCCTGCCCATGGCATAGGGGTTAGAACTAGCTGATTCTTTAAGGTCCCTTCCAACTCAAACCATTCTCCAATTCTATGAGATGCAGGATTTTGCAGATGTATAATGTTACTGGGGCACTTCTACTAAGAGTTCCACAGTGGATATGCTCCTCCTTGGGGGTCAGCGTGCCTCTTTGGATGAGTTTTCTGTTACTCTGGAAGTGGCTCCAAGCCAAACCCATAGAACCACTCCATGGTACATTTTCTCACCAACTCATCTTGGGCTAACGATAGCAATGAAATTACTGGCAGTTGGCTGAAAGACTGGAAGTTTGGGGGTTTTTTCAGGGGTTTGTTGTTATTTATAATGTCACCATTCTCACATTTGTTTATTTCACTGCAATGAAGCTAAGACCGGCCAGCAGTTTCACGAAGCAAGTGCCCTCTTGCAAGACCAGCAGCAGAGGACTGCCCCAGTGCAAAGAAGGTTGCAGCTGGGCTCTCCTTGGGAAGCTGAAAAGGCACAGGCAAGGCAGGAACTTGAGTGTTTCTGGTGGGAAATAAAAACACCAAGTTTATAAAATCAACCCTGTTCTCTCTGCCCTCAAACATTTTTGAATTATTTATAAGAGCAGCTCTAGCATGGGAGATGATCAGGAAGAACTCAGACTCAAACCTCTCCCCTCCACAGACCAGGGGAGTGCCTTCCCGTGAGGGCTATTTCCTTTCATCCTCGCCCTTGATTTATGAACATTTCATCAAAATGGTATTTCCGCAAAAAGGTTTGCTTGAGGGGGAAAAAAAAAAAAAAAAAAAGTTTCTGAAATAGAACTCCAGTCCGCTCTAATCAGTAGGATTATATCAATAACACATTCCGAGCTGTCTTTAAATAAGAGATGCCTATAGTTCAAGAAGAAATAGAAGTCCACCTCTGCCTGCCACAGACCGAGAGGGTGACTGCAGGGTGGGAGACAGGGTGGTGTCTGTGGGCAGAGAGGGCTGGTCGTGGGGCTCCAGGCGCCAGCGGGTCCCATCCTCCTGGTGAGCGGTGACGTGCCACCACGGGACTGCTCCTCCACCCTGGCACGCTCCAAAGGTCAGCGAGCGCCGAAAACTACCACCCACTAATTCCTGCACTTCCTCACTTCCCATGCCTTCGGAAAAAAGAGGGCTTTTTTTTTTTGTAAAGGAAAAAAAAAAAAAAAAGCACTACCACAAAATTGTGCATTTTATTATTGTTACTGTTGTTTAAACCCTTCCTCAGCATTTAGTGCCAGCAGAATGGCAGTGGAATCAATTCGATTTTCTCCAAAACACTTCGCTCAGATTTCAGTATTGTGCAAACCACTACAACTAACTAAAACAAAGGAATTATTCTGCAGGGATGGGATATGCATGGACACTCACTAAAATTTTTTCCAGACATATTAAGACTGCTACTCTCTGCACAGAAGTTTTTTAATATGAAAGAAAAGTCGAGGCTACCCAAATAACACAAACAATACCATGTTTTCAGGATAGCTGCTGCAGCCAATGCAGAAAAGTGGGGGTTTATGAGCAAACATTAGAAAAATACAAACACAGCTCAGGGGAAATTCAGGAAAGAAGTCTGTGTACAAAAACTAGCTATCTCAGTAGCTGTGGACTGTACATCCTCAGTCTGTATTTTTCACAAAAACAAGCACAAAAAAGAAAAAACAAAACCCAACAAAACAGCACATGAGGGAGTGTTAAGTCAGGACAAGCAATGCTAGACAGAGCCAGGGATACACCCGAGACTGCTTTGGTTATTGTCAGTAACCAAGGGAGATCATTGCTTTTTAATTACACTTTCAAAAAGTCTAAACTAGCACGCACCTGTTAAATTCACAGCCTTCAATTTTACATTTTAAACACCTTGCTGTTTCTTATACCTTCAGCACCTGTATTTCAAACACATTTCCTAGCACTGGGCTTCAAATAAGCTGGTTTCTATTTAAATTGTTACGTGTTTCCTTGAATACAAAACATTTTGCTGTTCTCCTAAGACCACGTACTATCATATTCATTAAATTTATGAAATCATTCAACACAACACTGTCATAAATGGATGAAATATTATCTCACCACCAAAGCAGCAACACAACTGCCATACTCCATGCAGACCTAATTCTTCCCCTCACAAACTTCATTTAGGTATATACATACGTACAGAGAGAAGACAGAAGTCAGGGACTGAGGCTTAACGCTGCACCAAGTCCCTAATGGTACAACGTTAAGATTGCAACAACTGTGAATGTGAAATCCAATAGCTGAGATGGTGAAGTTACTCATTATTTATGCAAAGAAAACAAAAGGAAAATGATGTATTTCACCAGCACTTTCCGTGAGATCTAATCTGCTATCAGAGATTGCATTATGATCCGCATTTCCCAAAGACCGGGCAATTTCAATGGCATTATTGTTGGATGCCCAATGCACTTATTATGTTAGGCACCGGGAAGTTGCACAAATCATACAGTAACAAAACCAAAAAATAAAGGAGGGTTTCCTGGCTTAGAAACCCTGACGTGTTAAGGAAAGAGAAAACTTGGCTTAACAAAAGCATAAAGTGACCATGAAGTAGATATTTTGATCTCTGTCCTCAGAGGGAGCTCTGGTACCAAGTGATTCTGACGCAAGTTTTGGCCCTGGCAGATGATGGGAATTCCAGCACTTCCCCAAGCAAACAATTCCACTTCTTCACTGTCTGCAACCACTCAACTAGACAGCAGGAAAACATCCCAGGCTCTTCTGGTAAGAATTTAATGCCCATTACTTGTTCTCTCTAAGCAGGAATGGAAAAGACTTGATTACCTACCTCTACACTGGACCATTTTAAAGCTCTGAGCTTTAAGCCTAGGCATGAGCCATGGATATCATGCCCTACAGTACATCAAAAGGACATGGTTTGGAAATCAGCGTCTACATTTAACATCAAGTAATTCAAACAGATGAGTCCAATTCTGTACTCCAGCACTTGACCACTGCCAAAACTGTAACATCCTCCATTCTAGTATAGACAATATCCCTGACATTAATACCCTCTTTGGAAAAGTAGGATCTAAATTGGCTCTAATGCACCATTTTAACCCACATCTTCATAACACCTATGACTAGTCTAGTTTACTTCAGTAAACAAGCTTTACTACTTTCTAGGAAGTAAGACTAATCTGCTTTACTTAAGTAAACATTAAACGCTTGTTTACTAGAGTAAGCGTGCTTTACTACTTCCTAGGATTTAGCCTTGGGGTTAGCAAAAAATCCCACAGTTCTGAACACAGGACCTCACTGTGCAGTTCCTCACATCTGATGGCAAAGTCTTACTACTTGCATCAGCCAATGCTGAGCTGGATGCCTGAAATGATGGAAGCTTTTTAAGAAGTCTTTAAAGGAACAGAAAGAATAGGACAGAAGTGAGAACTTCTCGAGATGGCTTTGATGTCAAGAAAAGCCACATGTTGTGGGATCATGTTGTTCTGCTACAGCAGAAAGAAGAGCAAATACAAAAGCTAACCTACCAAGGCTTCACCTTAGCAGCCTGAGGGATCAACAGAAGGTGGAGCAGGATCAGCAGCAGCCTTCTGGAGTCGGGGCACTACCTCCCCCACCACCCTCCAGGGAATGTCACATCAGCTCATTTGACACAGTCTAAACTGTGGGACCAGTGGTGTGGTGGCTGCCATCTGCACTAGCATGGGAGACGTCTGCTTACTCAGTGGAAGGTGCAGGTGATAAATTTTAGGACTTGCCTTTGCCCTTTTAGAGAAGACAATCTTCAGTAAGAGATAACGTAATATAATCCAACAGGATACAATTCAGAGGAAAAAACAACGTGAACACTATTGAACACAAGCATATAAATAATCTGGAACTGGAGCTGTTAGTTGCAGGTGTAAGTGATTAAAGCTACAGTGTACAGTGACATTTTAGGATAACTTCAAATAGTTTGCTAATCTGAAGGTATCTGGGACTAAAAACTTGGGATGGGAGTGAAGAAAAAGAGCAGCTAAACTTGTGAGCCCTATAATAAATGAAGTTGGAGACCCTGAACACAAAACACAGCACACTGCAGTAGACCTGGTCCAGTTACAGAGCAAGCCCCTTTTTAAAGTTCTAGAAAAGACCTTCACAGCTTAAACATAAATCAATATACTCACCATTTGGGTACACACACACAGGAGAGCTGGCATCGATTAGAATGTGTCATCATGCTTTATAAACACTACTTCAAAATTGGTAAACTTAGCAGCCTTCAGAAGTAATAAAGCGACAAATAAATTAGAGCAGTTGCATACATACATGAGCTGCTTGGCCGATAGTGAGCCCCTGGGTAGCGCCTGCCCATAGTGCCAGTCAGCACATCACCGCACGCTGACAGCCGCCTTCAGAGCACGGGTCGAAACGCTGAACTGGGGGAGAAGAAGAAGAAAAAAATAAAAAAAAAAAAAAGTGAAGATTTAGTACAACAGCTGTATCTTTTTCATTAAAATGCTAATGACCCCTACAAATTTCAGGATAACTACATCTATAAATTATTCATAGTCATGTTGTCAGAGGAGATGAACTGTTGTGCTATACGTGCAAGCACAAATTTATATTAGTGGTTGGCCTCCATTAATAAGCTCACATAAATTTTAAGGCACAAAGAAGTCTCAGGTCATACAGTAGCTTCTTTCGGCCCACGATACAGACAGAACAACAAACACTGCAAGAAAGAGTCTGCTTTTGGCTTTAAAGTACAGTCAGCCAGTAGGTGAGGTTTAATAAAATGTCATCTTACATTTTGTAAAGCAACCGCTAAGCAACAAGTATCTGAACAGTTTGCTGTAGGAGCAAAACTTATCCATGCTATATAACATGGATTTCAATCTGTCCCTAAAAACCAAAGGGCCTTTCCAGGAATGCAGGTTATTTACGAGTGTATCAGTTTCCTTGAAGTATCAAAAACCCAAGCAAACAAGAAACTCAGGGCACATCTTACAGTCAGTTTGGAACAAGAAATCATAAATCCAAAAATCTTAATTGAAATGCTACTGAACCTGTTGAATAACTAGCGTAAAATCTTTTAGTCTAAAAACAAGTCCCCCTATTTCTTTCTTCAGTGTAAGATTTTGTACTAAAAATACAGCTTTCAGCTTTATCTTTTTCTTAGTCTATCTGAATAGCCTTCATGTTCCCAGATGTCTTCCAGTGTGCACTGCATGTCAACCATGCAATTTATAAAGATCTATTTCCTTTTATTTCATTCTCTCCCTTGCTGAAAGAAACAAAAAAAGCAACAAATCCTGGGGCGTGTTTTTCCTAATTCATGAAGGATTTTTATTGTCTCGGCTAGAAGCACAAGCTTGTTCTATCCAGGAAACAGAGAAAAATACCAGGACATTGATGAAATAGCACTGCACCAAAACTGGGAGATTTCCACAAATCTTCAGATACGTCAGTTCAGTTCCCTGATTGAGCAGAACATCAGCTTACTCCTGAATTAGATAAGCCTTTTATATATATTGGCATCTGTGCAATTCTCTGATGAGCTGCTCTGGGAGCCAATGCTGCTGGAAACTACATAAAGATGTATTTTCAGCTGGATTAGAATCACAGAAGCATAGAATAGTCCAGGTTGGAAGGGACCTTTCAGATCATTGAGTCCAACCATCAATCTAACACTGACAAAAACCATCACTAAACCATTATCTCTGAGCACTACGTCTGTCCATCTTTTAAATACCTCCAGGGATGATGATTCTACCACTTTCTGGGCAGCTTGTTCCAATTCTTGACAACCCTTTCAGTGCAAAAATGAGGCTCCTGAGCTGGCTCAGGGTGGTTGCACTAGTATTGGTAGCTAGTAAGGGCAACTGGAAAGAACAGGGCCATGGCAGCCCATGCTTAAAATGCAATCGTATAACTTTGCTACAGCCTTTGTGGATTACTTCTGAAATACAGACACCTACATAGCTGCATATCTGACAGTGCAAAAAAACAGGTAAAAATCTCCATTGTTTCCCAAATCAGTGCTGGCAAAGCGTGTCCTGCTCAACTCTCCTCAATGAAGAAAGTTCGGTGAATCAATGAGACAGCACTCCCTTGCCAAAAAAAAAAAAAAAAAAAAAGAAAAATTCTGGCTGTTAAGATGAAAAGTGAGTAGTAAACAGTAAAATTAACATTAATCAAAACCCCCGCATTTCTTTTGCAAGGCAATGTGGGACGACAACTTGCTATGGGCCAAACAGACCTTTTCAAACTTCTGTGGTGCCCTACTAATTCAACACATTGTAATGTTGTGCAAGTAAAAAAGTTGCAGATGGCTCCTTCCCCTTTCCTGATCTACAGGAAGAGAAAAGAAACAACCCCAAACCCCAATATATTTATTAGTAGAAAAAATTAAGTCTCCAAATTCATAAATGTTTTTACTCCCTTCAAATACCTATACACCAAGTTCCTAATTCAGAGCAGAATACAACAGAACAGTCCTTAGCTGTGCAAGGATTAAAAAACAAAATTACTGAGGGGAAGCAAAAACTGAAACCAGATGACAGTATTTACAATTCCTTTCCCTAGCTTGTCAAAGAACTTGATCAGTATGTACGGAGCAGCAAGATCACACGTTTTTCATAAATGCAATTTTGTCTTTCTAGAGGTTGTACACTTTTCTAAAGCAATAACACTCACGAAATTACATTAAATGTCTGCACCCAAGACTCACTGTTCCTTCCCCTGCCTTGCAGCACAGCATTGGAGGGGGCCTTCTGCACCATACCATAACAAAAAAAACCCCTAACAGATAAAAATTAAAAATCCCAAACCCCACAATTACGCTCTCAAACAGTTGAGTTAAACTAGAAGACAGTTCTCCTAAAGAAGCGTGCCCACTTTTGGAATAAACCACTCTTAGGAGAGGCCAGATGAGGACCCAAAGGTACGACCATTTTACATACCACATTTTAAAACCCCAAAAGTCTCAGTGTAAAAGGCAACATAAAGATATATTCTCATTATAGCAAAGGTTTCATCATTATCCTGTGTAAAATGAGAACTGCAAAGATTTACAACCTGGATTAAAACTAACTATCAAAAGTCATTTTGGAGTCTCAAGTAAGAGCCACAGAGTAGCTGAAGTTAAACTGCTCTGCAAAACAATAGCGATACTGGACTGTACATACCAGCAGGGACATACCCACATCAAGACAAAGAAAGATGCTGCTTGGGTTTGGCTTCTTTTCTTCTTTTCAAGAACTGTCTTTGAGTTGTGACCAGAACAGCCGAAGCGACCTGCCTTTTAAACACCTCTGCTCACCCAGGTGAATCTCAGAGAGACTCCTGAGCCTCGGCAAGCTCAGGGAACTCCCACAGAAATGCAGATGACCTTGTTGGTATCTAAATGCCACAGCCAAAGCATCTGAAAACTAGCAATTATTTTCCATATACATTCATGAGAATAGTATACAAAGTAGAAGGTCTCAAATATTCCTTTCAAAAGATCCAAGTACAATGTATGTAAAGGTTTGGGGTTTGTTTTGTTTTTAAATTTATATAACTTAGATATCCACAACTGCACATAAATCCGAATTAAACCTCAATATACCTAATAAATCAGATCAAGTCTTCTTAGTATTAGTTTTCAACCTGCTCACTTGCATTTGTTTTGTAACAAATATGGTTTGTAACAGCTTTTTGTAAGGTTGGTTTTTTTTTATTATTATTATTATTCTACTGCAGAATTGCTTTAAAATGTTTTATAGTGATTTTTACATCTTTATAGTTAAATTAAAATCTATATATACACACAAACACACATATAGCCTTATGATTTCTCTTCAAGAAATATTTTGATTTCACTCTGCCTTAAGATTTATTTTTTCGTCCTTTCTTGATGACCTTCCCTGATGTGTTTCAGGTGGCCAGCCCCATGCTGCAAGCAATTACAGCCAGCCATGGAAAGAAAACCTGAGCACCATCACCGCATACCCGCCCCCCCGGGGAGCACCTGGAAGCACTATCCATTTCACCTCACACCAAGTCCTTTCCAGGAGCTGTGGTGCCAGAGCTACCAGCTACTCACCATCACAGGTAATGAGGGCATAAATCATCTTGCAGAGACTTTCAGCTGAGGCTGTCATCCTCCTAAGCCATTTTCTTTACAGAGTTCTTTTGTTGTGGCTCTTTTACATGTCTTAGTTTTTTATAACTACTACGTAAGAGTTTCATTTTACTAGTATTAATCTTTTGACACTACTGAAAAAAAAAAAAAAGGAAAACTAAATTCTGGTGCCTTTTTTTTTTTTTTAAATGAGTCAAACCAAGAGTGGTGTCCATACAGCTGAAACATGGGATCATGTTTGCTTGAACTAATTCCATTATCTTTTGTTTGAGGATGAACAACTCTTAGTCCAGCCTCCATACTTTTAACTGACATTAAACCTTTTTTTGAGTCTCACCTAAATTTATTTGTTCACACATGCTGCTGCTTATGAGGGTATTAAATGGCCAGCTGACTCGTTGACCTCCCCTGGTTCTCTCCAAGCAGCATTTGCCATCAATACGTATGTGTTCAAACACAGTTATTAAGTACATTCTTACTGGCTGCTATAATCTCGTACAATAGATTGCCAGCAGACCTACCCTCACATGCCCAAGAAAAAAGGAAAGAAAAAAAAAGATGACTGCAAATTATCTACAGAAGTCATCCAAGTGTGACTGTCTACATCATTCACCGCTCGCGAGGAACATCTACACACAGCAGGGAAAAGAAAAAAGGTTATTGCATTTAGTTTCTCAAGGGACACCTAGTCAAGAAATTACATTCCAGTACTCGATGGGTGATATTCTGCCAAGCAACACAATCCCACCTTTAAAGTCTCGCTTTGAATACCAGGAAATAGCCCTGCTGGGGAAGGGGTAAGAGGAATGCCTCGCATTGTTTTAAAAACACACAGGGGCCGCAGGTTCTACACAAAATAGTCCCACTATAGCAAAGGGTACAGGCACTGAAAGTTGCTATAATCTCGTACAATAGATTGCCAGCAGACCTACCCTCACATGCCCAAGAAAAAAGGAAAGAAAAAAAAAGATGACTGCAAATTATCTACAGAAGTCATCCAAGTGTGACTGTCTACATCATTCACCGCTCGCGAGGAACATCTACACACAGCAGGGAAAAGAAAAAAGGTTATTGCATTTAGTTTCTCAAGGGACACCTAGTCAAGAAATTACATTCCAGTACTCGATGGGTGATATTCTGCCAAGCAACACAATCCCACCTTTAAAGTCTCGCTTTGAATACCAGGAAATAGCCCTGCTGGGGAAGGGGTAAGAGGAATGCCTCGCATTGTTTTAAAAACACACAGGGGCCGCAGGTTCTACACAAAATAGTCCCACTATAGCAAAGGGTACAGGCCGATTTAAAAAAAGA